AAGTAACTCATTTCTTCCTACTTTGGCAAACCACTGTAATTATGTTAACTTCAGCCAAAATAGGGATTTTGTTTTTTTAATTTTAAGTAACTCATTTCTTCCTACTTTGGGAAACCACTGTAATTATGTTAACTTCAGCCAAAGTAGGAATTTTGTTTTTTTAATTTTAAGTAACTCATTTCTTCCTACTTTGGGAAACCACTGTAATTATGTTAACTTCAGCCAAAGTAGGGGATTTTATTTTTTTAATTTTAAGTAACTCATTTCTTCCTACTTTGGCAAACCACTGTAATTACGTTAACTTCAGCCAAAGTAGGGATTTTATTTTTTTATTTTAAGTAACTCATTTCTTCCTACTTTGGGAAACCACTGTAATTATGTTAACTTCAGCCAAAGTAGGGATTTTATTTTTTTATTTTAAGTAACTCATTTCTTCCTACTTTGGCAGACCACTGTAATTATGTTAACTTCAGCCAAAGTAGGGATTTTGTTTTTTTAATTTTAAGTAACTCATTTCTTCCTGCTTTGGCAAATCACTGTAATTATGTTAACTTCAGCCAAAATAGGGATTTTGTTTTTTTAATTTTAAGTAACTTCAGTTTTTGTAGTTTTGACTTTCTTGTTTCAATACTTTTTGTAGCATTAAAACTCTTTATCAAATTAATTTTTTTTATTATACTTGTTTGTTTCCTTTTTATTAGCTATATTTTTGTTCACCAGCAATACAAAGTGTGGGGCAGATGTATACTCCATTCAATTTGATTACTCCTGCAGATATATATATATATGTACTAGTATCGTTTTTTGGTACAAGAGAGGATTCACTGTGACCCAAGACAGAAGAGTTCTATGAAAGAATTAAGAGTGATAGGGTTTGTCATTTTTTCTGTATGCTTATCTGGAAAAGTCACTTACTTAGATGAAAATTTGTTGAAATAGTGAAATTTTGATTCACTCCATAAGCTTTAGTTTTGCTCAGCCAATACTTTGAAACAGTCATTGTTAATATTGAAACATTTTAAAGGTGGTTTTAAATGAGCGATTTTTATGGCTGCCATTTTGTTTCATCTGAATCCTTACTATTAAGTAATCCCATACTTAATGTTACTTATAGTCAGTAAGTAATCGGAAACAAAACTAATTCATTGTGGATTCTAGCTTAACTTTAGGTCTGAGACATAGTTCACCCGAGGTTATTAAAGCAGTTTACTGGTGATTCAGTAGCGAGCAAAAAAACGTCCAAACACACTTCTAACAGTCTATCTTTTTGAAGTGCTCAGTTATTTTGTAAGTAATGATTAACCTACTTCTTCAATCTTACATTTTCAACTATCATGACTGGTAATTAGGCACTATATACGTATATTAGTTGACCTAAAAAGCAAAGTTTTAAGGGGAAAAAAGTACAAAATACTGCTAGATATCCTTTATCTTTGAAAACTGTAAAAAATAAATTTAAAATTTTGTGAAAAATCTGGTAATACAATCATTTCAGATTATGTGATACCTTCACCAAAAAGATACAACTTTCTTCCACTTACTGCATTAGCAGGGAAGGCTCGTAACATTACAGGAGTGAGTCCACGATAGAGAGCGGTTACACCCTCTTCTGCCAGAGTTCGGCGGAAAACGTCCCTAATCCCTCTTGGATAAGTGCCTTGTGGTGCTAAAAGTACAAGTTCATTCAATTAAAAAATTTAATTACACATAGCACTACAGAAATACAATAAATGGAGACAAACAGTGCATTTCAAAATCAATTTTTTTCCTTATTACAGTTAAATATTTCGTAAGTGTTTCAATATCTTGAGATAACAAATTGAATAAAAGGAGTTAAATAAATTTTAAATAAAATTCAAGCATAGCAATCCACCACGTAATTTATGTTATTTTCATCATTAGGGTATGTTGTAACACTTTCTTGAGGTTGTCATCTAACTTTAAGAATGAATTAAAATAATAATTAACCAAGTTGTACATAAAAAAAAACAGAAAACCTTATTTTCAGTTTTTTGTAATTAATGCACAATTCTGTATCTCCATTTCTCTCATCCTTTGTCAGTGAATGTGCTGAACTGATGTATAATTAACTTACATAGGAGTGTTTTGAGTAATCTGAATTGGTGACCACTTGCTAACGAAAAGTTCAAATTTACAGTAACATATATTTAAATGACTCCGAACTTAATTTACAGTGGTTCAGACAAATCTTATCGCTTGATGTATAGTTACAGATGTGAAATCCACTTGTTATTTAACAAGTGTTAAATTAAGTGGGTGATACAATTGAAAATATAATGCAAACTTACGAAATGATGTTATTTCTACTTAATTTGCTCATTTGATTTTATTACACATTGTTTATCTTTTACGTAAAATTTCAAGTATTTTTTTCAATAAATATTACAGATTGCAATAGACTTGGATTTATAAATAAATGAGTATGTTCCATATTGAAGTTACAAAATACATAAAACACTCTCAAAGATTTCCATTTGCAAATGTGAATTTTTGTTAACCTACCAGAATGATGTTAATTAAGCAGCAATAATTTTTTTCATTATTTAAACATCATTAGGCTGAAAAGTGAAAAATATGCTCAAATATTATAGAATAAAAAATACTTAAAATATCTTAAAAATAGTAAACAAAAAACAAAACTGGAAAAGGTAATAACATTGAATGATATTAAAAAGATATAGACAGAGAGAAACATTTGGAATTAGCTGTAAGTGTTAATAATAACTCAAAGCACTGAAGTAATTTACAATAAAAACTATGTAACAGTTATACCTTTAGTTACTTATCTATAAAAAAAATCATAAACACTATTCTTAGAGCACCCAACCTGTCTGAAGACGAGACTTCAAAACATCTGGACCAATAGCAACGACCCAATTAAATACTCCAGCCATTCCACCAGCAAACATGGTTCGAATTGGACTAATTTCACTTCGACTAGTCGAGGACAAAAATGGTTTTAAAGAAAAGGGCTGAGGATGTAATTCAAACATTCTGATTAAAGATCACTTTAGCTTAAAGAACAGAATCACTAAAACATCCAACATAAAATACCAGAATTCATTACAGTTCGCAAGTTTTTTTTATATATATATTTGTTTTTCCTCTGGTAACTTCATTCAAAAAGTTCATCATTATAAGGAGTTAACATAATTTAATGCTGAAACCACTTGCAGCGGGCTCATCCAATTTGTGGAAACCAAGTCCCGAATTTTACTTGTACAACAGTACATACGGTAACTCTGAGATGTCTTAACGTATCCTCTCAATAATTGGTAATAATATTTTGTAAAAGATTATAAGTATCTTGTACACAAAGAATGACTTTATTATAATTGTTTTTACTAAAAATATTATTTTTGTATTGTAGTTACTTGCATTAAAACTATAACAAATCAAGTGCAAGGTGATTTTCATTTTAAGTATAAAAATACTTTTCCTCGTCTTATAGTTTTCATATTTCATTTGCATAACCTCTAGAATCTTCTAAAAGGATATCAAAAGTTTGTTTTTAAAGGTAAATGTTTATATTTTATTTTTCATTTTCTCTACCGCATCACTAACTCTAGCTATTATCATCAACGTACAATGCAATGAAATAATTAAAATTAGGAAATAGAAAAAAAAAATACACATCTTTTAATTTTTTGTAGAATATCTTTAAAGATTTTCCTTTTGTTAAATTCATAATTTCAGGTATTTTCCTTTTCACATGTAGTTAATTTTTAATGACATATCTTCCTTTCTTGTCTTTTACCACTTATTATTCATCTCAACACAAATCAATGGTACCCTCAAAATATATTACAGTTTCTTTGGAAGACAAGCGCAACCCTTCGGAAAGGTTTTTGTTCAGCACATAATTTCGTAAATCTTGAGAACAGATGCAAAGTACAATGTACATTTTTAAAATGTTTAAGCCTTTTAATTATGCATTTTAAAACATAACTAATACATAATTAACTAAAATATAATAGCAAGACCTAAATACAATTTAAACTGTATTTCTAACTATGACATATTTCGGTAAGAAACAACCATAAGTGCTATAGTCAATCAAGCAGCCAACAATATTACAGTCAATTACATGTAACTTGTGATGAGAACTACGCATCAATTTCAAAATAACCATTTTCAGATTATAGTGTAAAATGAGCTCTTTCTAATGAGTATACACATGTGTATGTAACACCTACATGTAGGCTATACAACTCAAACACATCTGTTAAATGTAGGAGTGGCAGCTATCAGCAGTTGAAAAAATGTATTACTTGTTTCAACTGTATTCATTCACAGAACTTTGAAATGAACGAGTAAAAAGGTTATGTAAGCATATTATTGCCTAGACATACCTCTACTCAACTACAATTGTATTATTGAAGATACAGTGAGCCAAAGTAGAGAATTTTCATAGCTCGTTGGTCACGTGACAATACATCTGAAGTTTTAAGTAGTTTTTTTAATGGTTTATTTTGAAATAAAGGACTTAAAACATGGATAAAATGAGACTTCAAATCATAACATACATTATAATATTAATTTCATTCAAATACATCGATAGTAAAGATGTTTAATTAACTTTTGAATTTAACACAGTGACTTGCACAGAAAAGCATTTAAAAAGGCTCCCGTTGTGGAAGAATTAATATTGAATAAAAATTTTTGAAACTTGAAATATTTTTAAGTGTTAGAAGAGTTTTTTTATTCCATATATCCTCATACTTCTCACCTTTTTCCCTTTGGCATTAGCATTGTCTGAAGGAACTCATATGTCAAAAACCAGGTTCCACTAGCAGGAACATCTGCAAGTTTCATAAATTTTAAAATTTTATTTAAATGTATAATAATATTTTGTTTTAAATTTTGCCACACTTTCATAGATTTGACATATTGAAAATAGTTTAATGTTAGCAAAAGAAGAAACTAAGACATATTACAACAGCAATAAAATATCTAGATAAAATTTTTCATATCACGAGGCTGTCAATTTTTGTATTATATCTTAACCTCATTAGTTATTTATTGTATTATCTACTGGCTATTCACATCAAGTTACATTTTTGGAATACATTAAACACTTATAATTCAATTAGAAAAAATTCATAACATACACACACAAAAAATAACAACATAATACTTGGTTGGTTGTTTGCTGTATAGCACAAAGCTACACAATGGGCTATCAGTTCTGTACTCACAATGGGTACTGAAACCTTCAGACTTATTGCTGAGCCACGGTGGGGAGGGGGCACCATCATATTTACACTTACATATATTTATACAATATTAACAGTGACAAGAAACTGTCACAGATGTATTAAATATATGACAGAAGAGTGTATTACCAAGAACTATGAAGTACAGTAAACTACCACAATTATTCACTAAGTTTTCTAAAATACATATCTACTATAATTAATGAATATAAAGGCATGTGCAATGAAACTTTACATAAACAATTAACATGAAAATGTTTATTGTTCCATCACTAGGAGGGATCTGACAACATAAGCAAATTGTTAAATTTCAAAATAAAATGTTTTAAACTTACATATTTATTTTGTTAAACTAAGTAGCTTGCTATATTTGTTTGTATAAGTTCCAGTAAACTATAATACTGAACAGTGTTTTTTCAAAACTGTGTACTGTGGAACCCCATAGTTCCAAGAAGGGTCACCAGGGGTTTCCCCACAAAGATAAGAAGTAATAGCATTTTTTTTTTTCAATTATTGAGTGTTGACATGTATTTTTTGAAATCATGAGTATTTTTGTATATTTATTTAAAATTTTACATTAACAATACTGTTAAGACCATGTTCATTTTCATCTAGGCTAGGTTTTAAGGGTTGGGGTTAGATGATGGAAGAAATTAAATAAGTAGGTTCTATTGGCTTTGTAAAGTTTGAAAACACTGGTATAAAATATCTTACAATTTGTAATACAATGCTTAACATAATCAACTGAAGGCTCAAGTTTCAAGCTACGAGTTTTATTAGTTCAGGTGGATAACACTGATAAATAAGCTTTGTGGAACTTGTTGGAGATTTTTTGTTTCAGTTATAGATAGTTTTTGTTTATATGTCCACCTCTATCCTTCCGAAATCCAGACAATTAACATAACCACATAACATTCACATTATAATTATTTTAACATACTGAACATGATAACATGAAAATTTCCTATTTATTCAAGGGAATATTCTCTATAAACTACAAAAAGATTTCAACAAACTACTTCTATGGGAGTTATTTCATATATAATTCGAAAACCTTTGTCACTTTTAAGGTACAAATGCGATGATTAGATCTCACATGGTTATTAAAAAAAAAACGCAGTTGAAGATGGTCAGAATTGCAAATGTTAAAATATGTATATCAGTACAACATTCAAAGTTCATTTGCATAATAATAAAATTCTTTAAAATGTCCAGAAAATGTACATGTCAGATTATTTTACATACTATTATGCTTGTACCTGTTGTGTAGTTAAATTAGTAAAAAACGTCACAAGCCCTTTATGATTAACTATTTGCATTAAAACTTTTAGTTAACCAAAGCAATCTTAAAATAGTAAATTAATTAACTAATTTTTTTTGAATAAATCTTCACATTCTCAAAGATCTAGAATACTAAAAGTTACTTGAGACAAAATACACGAAACAAAAAGTTGCATAGAATGCAAAAAAACAATCATTCATTGATTTATGGAAATTAAAACTGTTCATTATTTGACAGTTTTGAATAATTCATTAAAAGGGAAGAAAAATCTGTCTCAAAATGACCTGGATATTCCTTGAACCACTTCGCCAAAACTTTCAAATTAAACAGATAGAAAAAATCATGATTTGAATGTTACATATTTATTTACTCTCTAAACTAGGTAGCAAAACATAATAAGGTGTTTTAACAGATCAATGCACTTGCAAATTTGATTAATTTAACCCGTTACCTGCCGTGACCATTTTGTCTTATCGTGTGGGTAAAAATCACATTTGTGAATTGAAAAAATTATAGAGAACTTATCTTTTATTGATTTTCAGATTTTATTTTTGTAAATAGTAACATAACATTCAATTATTTATACAAAATTGTATTATTTGATGAAGTTTAAAGAGAAATTTAATGAAAAAAAATCCTAAAATACGTTTGAGACTGTAAATAAGCACCCTGTACGAAGAAAAAAATTTTCCTTCCACTTCAGCACTGGTCATGCCATCTATGATTGGTATCTATACCTTTTTCTAGTCTGTTTTCTTTATAAAACAGCATATGGGCATGTTAAAACTCAGTTGTAAAACTTTTATCCAATCCTAGTCGAAGGTGTCAATTTCAGTACCATGTTATTCCAATTGCTGTATTTCCCGTTTGACAAATCATAGTATGATAAACAAAGCATGTGAAGAAACATTGTTCTCTGGATTTTACAATATGAATGTGGGTGGTGCTTATTATAGTAATTGCCATTTTATGTAGAATTTGTATTTAGTATTGGCCAATAGTACTTTTCTATAAGCGTTAGAAAATTTGCTTCTGGAAAAACTGCATGGGTTGTACGTGACTTTTATTATTTTTCTATACTAGCTTAAGTCATACTGTATCGTATATCTATTTATATTAATCATTATATTGAAAAATTAACTCAAAATAGATATATTTTTTAGGAAAAAAGTTGATCCACGATTGTTAGGGTTAAGAGCTATCGATTGGCGAGTGCAAGGTCTTTACATGAATTAGGCTTAGCACTTTGAACTGAAAGAGTTTGTGATTTTTTATATTCTTTTGCATTTAAATTTGTAGTTTAAGTTCAATAATTTAGCATAATTTTATATTTAGTTCATGATAATAATAACATGATTCAGTATTTAGAATGAAAAACTTGTGTGATTTGTATGTAATAGTACCAGTACCACATAAGAATTTTATATTTTTCCTTCTTACAATCTTTACTTTGTAGTAAGACCCACATTTCTGTTGGTGTTGCTTTAGAATTAAAACAGTCTAACTGATAATTATTATCTGATGTTTTGCAAATGGTTTAAAACTCAGTGTACAAGTGACAACAATAAAACCTATATGTTGGTTGTGAAATAGACTAAATACATTTGTCTCAGTAATACAGGGAAAGCTGTGACATTCTCACAGTTGGGGTGTCAATACACTGAAGAGCTTAAGTTTCGAATTCCAACATAAATCTTGCCTATAATGAGAGGAATGTGACCAGGACTAATCTTTTAAGTGCTGTAAAGTAATTTTCTTTGTAATTTATGGTATCTGTATCGTTTGGTAATTTCTTCGAACAGGATGTATCAAGTAACCAGGGTCAGGCGGTATTATTCAAACCACCTGTACTGTAAACTATTATATACATTCGCTAGTAGTGGCAATTAGTTTT